CTGCCACTCCTTAGGGACCCGAAAGCCCTTGGGGAAGGGGCGAGGCGCAGACGGTACTTCTACGGCTGGAGCTGGTGGAGGGAGGGCTCAGGCTCGGCTTCAGGCTCCCGGTCGAGCTCGATGTCTCGCTGGGCATCGGGGTGGGGCTCAGGCTGGGGCTGACCACGCTGGTCAAGCGGGGACGAAACTGGAGCAGGTCCTCGTCGCTTTCCGCGTAGTCGCTGCCCATGACACTCCAGAGCTCCGCATCGCCGAGCCGCACGGGGACCCCCCAGCGCGTCGGCGCCTTGTCCTGGTCCTCCACCGCCTCGGGCTCGAGTCCCGGCTCCGACTCCTTCTGCTCCTCCTTCTTTTTCTCGGGCTCTCCAAGGCTGCGACGCGGAGGCAAGTCGGCCATGGCGGGCGCGTAGCGCGGTCAGGGCCGGCGTTGTCGCGGCCGTTCTGTGGGCGGGTTCGGTCCTGGGCACCGGCGTCTCTGTCCCGGTCTGTCTCCCTGGGCAACGGCGTGCTCCGTGGTCTCCCGAGTCTCACGGATTTAAAGCGGCAGGACTCCTAGGGAGAAGGACAGTGCACCCCACCGCCCCCTCCATGCCATCCACCCGGGGAGGCAGCAGGGAGCCTGGGACGCCGCCTGCTTCTTCTGCCTATGCTCTCCGGGTGTCTGAGACCCCTGGCAGTCTGTGGCAAAATGATCTGTCTTCCCTCGCTCACTATATTTAGAAAGTGTTTTTTTTTTTTTTTTTTTTTTTTAATTTTCCCTTTTTTCTTTTGAGCTGGTGGAGGAAGTGACTTCTAGTGATGGGCAGGACACCCAGAGTGCTTCTGGGTATTGCGGATGCTGGAGTGGGGTGCTTGAGAACACAGATGCCTGCTGGAATGTCCAATGGAACTCTGCTTACAGAAACAGCGCCGCCCCTTGGGTCATGTTTGCTGTTTTTATTTTATTTTAAAACATTGCCTTCAATCTGAATTACTTTGATTGTGAGAGTTTTGGCGTCCCTTACATTTGGAGCCCAAGGAACGTTGTGCCGTTGCTCAGGGCAATTGCTCTGCTTGTTCTGGGCATCCAGGTGGAAGAGGCTGAGGCATCGGCCCCTCGCACCGCTTCGGCCCTCCTGTGGCTTCGTCTTTAGTCCATCGGACTTATGCTTTGTAACACGGGTATGCACAGGAAAAGGGGGACAGGGTACTGTGTGGACACCCACTGACAGGCCCTCACGCTGAGTGAACGGTGTTACCCTACGAGTCCTCTCCTGTGGTTTTCTCTAACTCACTTGGCCTCTTTCCGCCTCTGTTTCCCTGGGTGTCAGTTGGGGAATGACAATACTTGCCCCTAAGGTGTCTGAGGATATTAATGAATGTGTAATGGCTACTTACCGCCATCAACACATTTTTTTTTTTTTGGAGAGGTTTTTGCTATAGGGTGCGTGCACCCGCCAGACAGAGAGAGACATAGAGACAGAAAGCGAGAAATCACCCCCCAGGGGGGATGGTCACGCTACAACCCCTTCTCCTCCATTCTCCTCTCGGAATCTTGGGCACACACGCACACACACCCGGTGTGAGTTTTAAGCCACCGGGTCCGGGACGCGAACCGCGGTCGACTATGTGGGAGTCCAACGACATAGCCATTACACATCAACACATTTGATCTGAGACCACAGAGAGCACACCCTACCTGAGCTAAGTCGGGGCCGTGACTTGTTCCAGCCAGGTGTGTTTCCATAAGAGGATGCCGGGAAGATCCTATCGCAGGACTTAGGCCTTGTGTAGAGGGCCTGGGAGAGGTCGTAAGGAAGCAGGTTTCTGTTCTATGCTGGGATGGTTCACGGTGGAACAGTGACTTTATTTTTGCCCATGCTTAGACGAAACTAGAAAGTGACCTTGTTTTGTTTCGTTTGTCATGGTGTCGGAGTAACCATGTCTGAGGCTGTTACTCCTTGAGAAGGTTTCTGTCTAACAGGACAACGTGACAGGCTGAATGTGAGCATTAGGGCAGCTGGAACCAATACTGAGGTCTCTCTGTGAATGGCAGGTCGGATCCAGGTGCCAAAGGCTTCCAGCTCTGAGCCTCTGGGCTGGGAGGGCTTGTACTAACAAGACTCTCAAGGGAGCTGGAGGTGAGAAGTTAGGGGGCAGACGCACTAAGCAGTGTTTACTGTCGGAGCCGGCCTCTGCTGGTGCTGGGCCAAGACGGCTGCTGAGACAGACTAGCCAGCTCCATCAGGCACCAGGGCAGAACCAGGGAGGCGGGAAGGCCAGGACTGTCCCTGCCCTCCAGAGAGTCAGAGAGAAAATACACTGCAGTTTCCGAAAGAAGAGGTTTCGCAGGCCAGAGGAGCCGTGGGCACAGAAGGGAGGGGACATTTGAATTGCTTTGGAAAGAAGGTGAGATGCTGGTGGCTGTCCAGGGAAAGGAGGCCAGCGTAGCGGAACGATGCTGAGGTTCCAGTAAGTTAAGTGAAATCACACACACACACACATACACACACACACACACACACACACACACACACACACACACACAGAAAGAAGTCTAATTGTTCTCTGGGCCATAACAGCATCTTAATGCTGGAAGTGATCTCAGAGGTTCAACCAGCAACTCCTGCCCAGGGAAGGTGACTGGTTCAGGGGAGCCAAATGTCTGTTTCCAGGGCCCTCAGGGAGCAGACTGGGAATCAGGATGAGAGGGGAAATGAGGCTGAAGGGAGCCAGAGTAACCCTGGGCTGACTGACCACTGGGTAGTTTCACAGTTGCAGGCTGAATTAATACATTCAAGAACTCCTGCTCCGAGCCTTTTTGAGCTTTAGGGAATCTCATTCCCTAGGCTCCACTCACTTCACAAAGAACAATGCTTCTTTCCCCACAAAGGGGTGTCACTCTCATTTGGAGCATTCAGAGGCTACATGGTGCTGGGCCCGTTCCCTCCCCTTCCCCTTCTCAGAGCCAGGCAACAGCTCTCATGTCCTGCTAGACTTCGCGGTGACTGAGCCTCAGTTTCTTGATCTGTAAAATGGAAACATCAGGATACGTCCACTTGCAGCGCAGGGCTATTTTGAGATATTTATTATTTTAATTTTCTCTTTCAGAACCAATTTTATCCTATTTATTGTTTTAGGACCACAGAATTCCGTTTAGAAAATAATGTTGACTTTAGTAATCTGTAAAATGATGTTTCTCCAGCTAAGTCCTACAGCTAAACACCTAAGTGGTGATGTTTGTTTATTTTTGCCATAGAACATATGCACATGCTGGAGGGAGACAGAGGGAGAAATCACCGCCTGGGTGAATGGCCATGCCACAGTTTCTTTTCCTCCATTCTCTTCTTGGGATTTGGGGCATGCATGCACATGAGCCTGGTGTGATTTTCAAATTGCCAGGTCCAGGACTCGAACTGCACAATTGCCCATGTGGGATTTAGGCACCTTAACCTGCACACCTGCTGGCCTGCATCCAAGTGGATTTTTCTTTTTCTTTTCTTTTTTTTTATTTTTTTTCTTTTTTTAGAGATTTTTGCTTTAGGGCATGTGCACTTGCCAGAGAGACAGACAGGGAGAGAGAAAGCGAGAAATCACCCCCCAGGAGGTTGGCCATGCTGCAATCCCTCCTCCATTCTCCTCTTGGGATTTGCAGCACGCACACACATGTGCCCAGCATGAATTTCAAGCCTCTGGGTCCAGGACTTGAACTGTGTTTGACTATGTGGGAGTCCAGCAGCGTAACCATTACCCCATCTGCTGGTCCCCCCAAGTAGATTTTTTTAAAGACTTTTTCCTATGAAAAAGTATTATGTACTTGTTCTCTGTTTGTTATTTTGCTTCCCTTTCTATTTTCTTTCTAAAGACTGCTGTAACTATTACCATTTTCCAGAAAGGCAAGAGAGTGAATTTTTGTCCAGTTCAAACTGCTTGTGTATGGAGAATATTTTGAATGGGTAACAGATAGCGTTCTAGCATGTCCATGAAGAAAACACAAGTGTCTCTTAGAAATGCTTTGGTTTAGCTTTGTTCTGATTCTCAGTGGAAGGACAGTAGCAAAGAAAGGGGCCTTCTGATGGCTAATAAGAAGGCGCCTGTCTGCACTAGCTATGAAGGGCATCTTTCTAAGAACCAGATCCTCCCCTTCCCACAATTTCCTTTCTGAAAGCCCGTTTATACGCCTTAACTAGCAGTGACATCCTCTTTATCTTGTCCTTAATGCTTGATGTGAGACCTTCCTGGGAAGGATTGATAGGGGAAAGGGGCCAAGTATCAGTCTTCTCCCACTTCCTAACTCCCAAATCTTCCTGCTCTCTGTTTCCTGACTGCATATCCTCTCACTAGTTCTCGCGAGGTCAAGCCCAGCTACATCGCCCTTTGGCCTTGTTTGTTTTGATCCATAAGCCTGACTCTATCTTGTCTCTGGACCATTCCTGCAGTTGCCGAGAAATACATGCCCTTTGTCTTCGCTGAAACTAACAACTGCAGGGTCATCCTTCCCCTTCCGGTCTCCTCCAGGACTGTGCATTCATCCCTTCATTGATTCAGGACACTAATCCATTCAGTTATCCAATCGTTATTGAGTTACGTTGTACAGCAGGCACTGTTCTTGGTTCTGGGAGACAGCAGTAAACACGAGTTTGGGGAAAGACCACACAATAAATAATTATTATGTCATAAGATCATAAATGCTATCGAGAAAACTAAGATGAGTTTGCAGGGCAGGGGTGTCAAGTTGTAGGCGTAATCCTTGCTTTTTTGTAGCAGTGTCTGGAAAGACCTCTCCAGTAAGCTACGGTTTGAGCAAACTCCTCGAGGAAGGCAGGGAGGAGCTGGCAGCGCCTCTCTGGGGAAGGAGTGTTGAGGCAGAACTGGAGCCATTGCAGGTGGAATGGAGGAAACAGGTACTAGGTTGCAGGGCTGTGGCTTTTCCTCTCAGTGCCATCTGGAGCCTCTGGAGAGCTTTGGGCAAGGTGTGGTTTATGTTTTACCCTAGAATCTGCCAGACTTAACTAGAGTAACCTGTTCACCTAGACTCAATAAGTTTGGGAGAGTGAGCCTCAATGACTAGGGAGACTTGATAGAAGGTTAGTGCATTAGATGGGGCAAATATTTTTGATGTACAACCCCAAGGGCAAAAGAAATACTGTTGGGAACAGAAATAATAAGGAAGGCCCCCAGCCCTCAGAGAGCAGAATGGGAAGGATGATGTGACAAGTGTCCAGATAACTATAACACGATGACATGTGACCTGTGCCACTCCAGCATGAAGGATGTCCTGGAGCTCAATGAGATTGCTCCTTGGTAGGGAGCAAAGAGAAGACAATCAGAAAACACTCAGGAAGGAGACAGCCATTTCTGTGTGATCTAGTAGAGTTACTTCTAACCCAAAGCTTGGCCATTATAAAGTAATGCATTCTCAGGCCAGTCGGTGGGGTGGTGGTTAAGGCAGCTGAATCCTACATGGCTGGTTACACAGTTCAAGACCCAGACCTGGTGTCTTGAAAAACACACCAGGGATATGTGCATGCATACCCAAATCCCCAGAAGAGAATGGAGAAGAGATTGCAATGTGACCAT